GATTCTGGGAAATTTATGACTCAGAAAAAAACTCCCAGTTTAAGACAAGTGGCTAGCCTTGGAATTTAAGGACTGTAAAGGACATACAAGAAAGTAATGGGTTAAGTGGAATCTTAGAACCATATAATGTTAGCCGTGAACATCACCTAAAGAAAGCTTGCCTATCCACAAGCTTTGTGAATAAAGAAATAGAGATCCAGAAAAGATAATTGAGTGTAGCACACAGTGGCTAAGTAAGGACTAGTTATAAGTGTTATTGAAAGAGATTTAAAAGCTAGATGTAGGACAAATTGAGGCTGTTGTATAGAAGACAGAAGTGAGTGCAACTAGAGTAGATCAAACTACTTATGGTGGAGTGTGTTCCGGTAGTGATAGAATCTGGACAGCATCATTAAAGATCAAAATATTTTAGTTATAAGAGAGGGTAAGATTCATTACATTTTTCATTTTTTACATTTTTATTGAATACTCACCATGTTTACACACTTGCTACTTTCTGGACATATAGCAAGTAACAAAACACATGATTTCAGACTAAATGTAGTTTATCGACTTGTAGGAAAGAACAACAAATTATATCTATTTCTATCTATATCTATATCTACATATACACAAATTTGCATACACATATAAACTGTGATACATATTTTGAAGGAAAACAAAATGATATTCAAAAGAAAAAATGAGTAACAACTTAGGCTGCGTGTTCAGAAGTCTTCTCAACGATAGTGTCATTTGAAAGTGACATTTGAACAGAAACTGACACAATGAAGAGTGAAACAAATGAAGTGTAGTGGGGAAAAAACAATGTAAATTTTCTGAAGCCATACAGATCTTAATATATTTGAAGAATTCAAAGAGTATAATGTGGCTAGATAAGAGTGAACTGATGGAGAAGGGATGGGAGTCAGTGTTGGAGAGGAAGGCAGGGAAGAATTTGACTGAACCTTATAAGGTATGGCAAGGCTTTGGATTTTATCTTAAGTTCAATTAGGAATCTTTCATGGTTTTAGAGAATGACATATTCCATTTAGGTTTAAAGTACGCCACTTTGCATTTTATGGGAAAAAATATATTAGGATGGAACAAGAGTAGTATCGAGGAGAGTAGTTGGAATATTATTGTATTAATCCAGTTGAGAGAAGTTGGAGGTTTACACCAGGAAAATAATGTTAAAGACAAAAAGGAAAAAACAGATTTGAGGATATATTTTGAGGAAGGATTGGCATACAGTAATAATGAATTAGAAGTACGGGTGGAAGAAAAGGAAGTGAAATAAATTATTTGAAATTTTCTGGCCCAAGCATAGGGAAACAAAACCATCAAGATCTCAATGTTGGAAATTTGAAGATTTTATTTTTAATATGTTAAGTTTTAAATTCCTGGGAAACATCCTGGTGGGGTTGTTAAGCAGACACTTGGATATATAAGTCTAAAGCTCAGAAGAGTATTCTGGTTTGGAGATACAAATTCAAGAGTTGTTGGCACAGGTGGGGATGGTATTTAAAGCCATGAGAATAACTCTGAGCATCTAGGAAGACAGTGCAACAGAACAAAAGAGACTGAGAAAAATGGAACACAGGGAAAAGAATAAAATCAAGAGATAATGATGATATGGAAGTTAAGAGAGAAACTTTTTTAAAAAGTAAGAACTAATCATGTGTATCAAGAGTTCAAGAAACAGGAAGGACAAGAAGAGTCTAATGTATTTGGCAGCATGAAGGTCATGAATGACCTTTGCAAAATATTGGTTGAAAGGTCTGAGCCAAAGCCAGATGGGAGTGGGTGACTACGAAAGTGACTAGGAAGTGAAGAAGAGGAGATAGATTGTGTCATTAATCATGCTGAGAAGTTTAATTGGAAAAGGGAGCAGAGAAAAATAGATCTCTTGCTGTGACCAAGGAAATGTGTGTTTGTTTTTAAGAATAGAAATACTGAAGTATTTGTAAATGCTGAAAGCACCGATCAAGTAAAAAGTGCAAAGCATAGAGATGTAGGATATAGAAGAAAAGCATAAAGAAATAAAATCTTTGATAAGATGAGAGGAGATGGGATCCATAGCATGTGTGATGACAGAAAATAATTCCAGGTCAGAACAAAGGTACATAGAGCTTTTATGAGATCAACATTGAAGTGGAGGAAGGACCTTGGTAGAAAGTCATTGGTGAGCTGGACTAGCTCTCCCCCCACTTCTGGAAGATGGCCCTCTTGATGGCCGTAATGAGTTCCTTGTGACGAAGACTGTAGATAATTGGGTTGACCAGTGGTGTTAGTAGAGAGTAGACTACAGCAAGTGTCCGATCAAGGGTCACTGAATAGCTCTTCTTTAGCCGCACATACATGAAGATGATGCTCCCAAAGAAAATGAGGACCACAATGAGATGTGAGGCACATGTAGAAAAAGCCTTCTTTCTTCCTGCTGATGTTTTTATCTTCAGT